TTCTATCCCCAACGAACCTTATCCGTTTCTTAATAGATTGCGATCTTTTATGCAGCATAGAACATCAGAGTGGAGATAATATATCACATATTGCATCATTCGAACCTAAATGAAAAACAGCATGTGCAAATCTCATCAGAAAAAACATCTTTATGGGCATCTTCTAAGGGATAGTGAGCAGAACGGCAAATGAGTGCTCATTTCGTGGTATATCTTATTAGTGGATCCGTCTAGGCTATTCTCTGGAGATGCATTGTAGCGCAAATGGAATGACATATCGCGGGAAATGGAAACAGTGACGCAAAAAAGTTAAAGAAATGTATTTCTATGGCCTCTCACGAGAGGAAATGAAACGTCATGTGTGGGCATAAAACGTTGAGAATGTCCGTGTGCACTGGTGATAAAAAAAACTTTTTGTCCGCTTTTTCTATGTTCTGGATTATTCTGGCAATGATGTTTGCTTGTAGTTGTACTACTATGCATTGTCACTATGAATCATAGGATTAAGAACTATCCCCAAATTGAATTTTGCTTCGAATGTTTGGGTTTTTTTTCCTCCCTGTAAAAATTCAATTTTCCAAAGGGGGAAAAAACAAGGGTTAAAAAAAAGCAGAGTGAACTTTTTTTTTCACTCAGAGATTTTTTGCTATAATTATTGATTCCTTGAAGGCAATTGACTATAGAAAATATTTAATATTTTTTCTTTAAAAAGCTTGCATTTTTTTTAAATACTCATATGTATGAACATTTTAAATAATAAGGTAAAATATAATTAAATTCGCGTAGGAATGCCAAAGAATTTAATTTATTCTTAGTTGCAAATACTTCACTGTAGTTATTTAATCATTTTCGAAGGTGACAATTTTTATTACACTTTAAAATTCGAGCTAAGATTCTTGCTTTTAAAATCAATGCTTTGAATATGACACACACACAGGGATTTTTAAATATTCCTTTCTCAACTTTGTAGAACTTTATGTTTACATTCATATCAGATTAATTACATTTACATCCATTCCATGCAAGTAAATAATGTTTGCATTTGATGCTAATGTAAATTATGTACATGTTCTGCTATTTAAATTTTAATTTTAAAATTCATTAATGTTTAGTGAAAAGTATTTAGCTTATTTATTAAGACATGCCCATTTTTAATTAATGGATTAAGCATATTTTTAAATGTTAATGAAAAGAGTTTACTAATATATTTAATATCAGCATCACTTGTAATATATTTTTGTTATAGAATAGGAAAAATCAGCAATCGAGTGCATTGATATTTCACCTAGTATATGTTTATCTTTAAAATCATATAAAAAAAGTTGGAAGTTTAAGTATAAATTGATTGTTGTAAATAATAGAGTTATATACTGCTCGATGCTGTATCAGTTATTTTTCGGAAGCATTATAATTTACGCTTTACAGTACTGAATATAACAAAATTGCACACAATTTTCGAATTATCTGTTTTAAGCGTTATGTATGAACTGAATGCGCAAATCTAATTTTTTTTTTTTAAAAATGCTAATTTTTTAAATTTATATTTGCGAATTACTAAGTATTGTGAAATAGCATTTATGTACACTGTCCCTTATTTTAGTACACAGAAGTGTTTTTTCAACTTTTTAATTTCCCAAAATGGAAAAAAAAATGCTTTGGATTTCTGTAACATACCTAATGACATAATAAAGTTTCATGGTACTCTCTGAGTTCTTATTTACGTATATGATAAATAGTTAATATTTATTTTAGTAGTATTTGCTGTATTATTATATCATTGTTTGAATTCGATTCAGTCTCCTTTCACAAAATGGAGAAAAAATACAATGGATTTCAATAACATACCTATGACATATTAAAAATTCATTGCACTTTCTGAATCCTTAATTATAAACTAGATAAACAGTTAGTATTTATTTTAGTAGTATTTGTGTTGTATTAGTGTATCATTGTTGAATTCGAACTTTTTTAAATGAATTTTGACTAATTGACTATCAGAAGTAATTTCTTACCATTAATGATTTAAATTAGGATTTTTAATTAATCAAAATGTGAATCTAATTTAATCAGTTTTATGACTTTTTATATTTAATGTTGTTCCATAGCTATTAATTATTCCAAAAAAATGTGTACAATGTTTAAGAATAGTTTCATGTTAAAAACTGAATTTGATAGCTTTTTCACTCTCAATAGTTATAAATGTTATAAATGATTAAATTATACTTACATTATTATTTCTTGTAAACTTCTAAACCATTGAATATATATATTTTTAACTTTTTTTCAATACATTTACTAATATATTGAAAACAATGATATATGTTTCCCTCCTAAATTGGAATGCATTTTTAATTGTTATATAGACTTAAAATAAAATCTTTAAGACGTTAATGCAAATAGTATGTTAAATTGTTATAAATAGCTATATGAAAAATTTATGAACGATAGTAAAAGTGCTATTCTAAAATAATGGTGAGTTTTTAAAAGCTTTGAGAGAAAAAAAAGTTTATAATTATCTTATTTGGTTTCATACAAAATATGTCATCACAAACCCTACACTAGAAAGAATAAAATTTTAACGGAGATTAATCATTTATCTTATTTTGGAAGGAACAACATATTTTTAAGGTATATGTTATAAGAAAATAGTGTAGCAATAGTAAGATTTACTTTGTTACATTTATTAATATATTAATAAAGTTCCTTGGCATAAATTTTCAAAAATCTGTATATACGTAACAGAAAAGTGACTCACTCAGCATGAGATCTTTAGAACTATTAGACCTACAAACTTGAAACTTGTTAGGCATGTTTATTTTGTTGATTAATGACCGACAAAGAAAGGGGTTTTGCGAAAATCGATTCACAAGAGGTGTTTACGCAAACTTATAGCAAAAATTCCCGTATTTGGAGTATTAGATTTTCAGATTTGAAATTCGGCAGGTATGCTTATTTTGTTGAGTAGAGATACACTAAGAAAGTATCTGGGAAAACTGATTTCCAAGAGAGGTTACAGGGGCATAAAAAGCAAGAAAAATTTCCGGTTTGGGGCTCATTAAACCCACAGACTTGAAATTTAGCAGTTATGTTTACTTCATTGATTAGAGATCCACTTTAGACGAAGTTCCCAAAAATAAATTTCTGAGGGTTGAGGAGGCGTTTTATAGGAAAATAGCCTATTCTGAACTATTCGATCGACAGACAAAATTTTGCAACCCTGTCACTTTTGTTGAGTGGAAATCCGTCAAGAACGGACTTTGCGGAAATATACTCCCTCAGTGGCATAACAGATGTTTTTGTTTTTTTGTTGAATAATATTTATACATTGATTGACAGATAAACCCATGAAATACCGAGTTATTCAGCTTAATTTATGTAACTTCCCTATATTATTTGTGCTAAATCATTCTTTCTCTAGAGTCTAATTTGAAATTTACTTAAAAATTATTCAAAATACTAATTAATATTTTATAAACTCATTCTTTTTGATTTTCATTTTTCAAACTCAATTGTTGTGTTTCTCAATTTCAAAGTGCGAAAAGCGGATATACCTGCTGGTAAGAAAATATTCTTAATAACTTTAAAACTCATCCTTATTCGACATAAACAATTGCAACATAATTCTTACAAAAACACCTTTATTTCATTAAAAATCTAATTAAAAGTCTAATTATAACACAGTTTAATATTTTAAAATATCTTAAACAAAGCAAGTTATTTTACTCATGGAACTAAGGAAAAAATTTCTTAACAAGATAAATGTTCTATGTCTCCTCTTAATCATTTGATAAGTTAATTACTTCGTCAAATTTTGTTTCATAAAAATTTTTATTATGATTGATAAGTAATTAATGAGTTTATGTGTCGTAAATAAAGCTCTTTTAATCAGAAATTTAATACAATAATTCAGAGATAAAATTCCAGCATTTTTATGAGTCTTAGCATTGCGCATTTTTAAAACACTTTTCTGAGATTAGAAAGCATTATTTTCTTTCGAAACCCACATAATCAACCTTGGTGCATACAAAAACTAGTTTTGTGAACTATGAATAATTATCAAATGATTACTTAGCAAAAAGATATACGACGACGGATTTTGTCCAGCAATTACTCTCAATTAGCGACTCATTTTAACTGGAAATTATTGTTTTTGAAATTAGTTTGTTCTTGGAAGAAATGAAATATTTTCCTTCTTGTTGAGCGGTTGTTTTGGTTTTCGGGTATTATTTATTCTTTTAACTTTTCAATTTGTCTTAATCTGTTTTCTTAGGAGCTTTTCTTTTCTTTCTTTTTTTTTTTTTTGATAAAAAAATGTTTTTTGTTATGTAATTCAAAAATGTAAGCTACTTTAAATGACTGTTACAGAGTGTGCGTGTCTATATTATTAATCTTTAATTTTTATCATTAAAAGCTTAATTCACACAATTAATCTACTGACACTTATTGTTCGAAAAACAAGGTACCACAGATGTTGGCAATATTAATTCCTTATTGTACAGAATGGACCATAAAATAACGAAAATGGCAAGATTTGCATTGCACATGATGATAATGCAGGGAATAAAAAAACAGTTTAAATGATAAACTACGCAAGTTCTCACATAAAAGGAATGACAGCATTAAATGACAGAGATAGGCAATAACCTAACCAATTTCCTTATTATTTTATATTATTTTATGACATGACTATATTCCTTTTAAACAAACCACAATATTAAAATGAATCTAATAAAGAATTTCATTAATTTCCTGCTATTAGTCCATACTCTTCCTATATATATTTATATAAATTCATTAAAATTTTCACAATCCTTAACAAAATACTTTTTATTCATCCACTCAAGTTCAAATACATTTTTTAAACTTGTAGTGGATGACACTTGATGTTAATGCAATTTTTTCAAATATTAATTCATTAATTAAACTAAAAAATGAATAAATAGTAATTAAACAAAAATAATAGTCCAACAGCATATATAGAAAGGAAAATCGTTAATTTTTTCCCTGTAGCACAATGGATAGCGCTTTGGATTTCCAATCCAATGGTTGTGAGTTCTAACTCCACCTGGGATGGCCTAATTTCTAATAATGTGATTTCTTTTTTATTGTATCATTTTATTAGAATAATTAAATTTATTTAATTAATAAACAGTAACAAATAAACAAAAAATAGCTCAGCATGCTATACAGAAATGAAAATAGAAAATTGCGAGGAAAATCGTTTTCTATTTTGCCACATATTATTGTGATTCTGCCATATATATATATACATATATATATATACATAATCAAATTAATTGTAACTATTTAATAAAAAGCAACTAAAGTAAAAATTTTCTTTGTTGTCTTAAGTAGAAATTGACTTAATTTTTTTATATTAATTATTCTGATATAATGTTGAGTCTAAGAAAATAAGACGGTGGACTTGATTGCGAAAGAGGGAAATGCTCTTTCTTCTGCTGCCTCTTGTGAACTTCTCGTGTACGAAATATTTTTTATTCACATGGCTAAAGCAAATTCTATTTTGAGAGTCTTTCCCTCACACGATTGGTATGCAAGAAATCGCCCTGGTCTGCCCCTGCAGACGCGTGCGCGCGGTAGGTACTATACCCGCACATACTGTACTGGGCAAGCCGCGTAGTAATCACATCAGGAGCTTGAAATTTGTCAACAGGGAAAAGACTTTCATCTTGTTCTTGTTCCTGTCCTGTTTCTCCTATTCATGTCATTCATTTACTGTGTTAGTGTCTTTGTAAAGCAGCTGTGGAGCGAGTGGAAGAATGAACTTGTGGAACTATTAGAGCGACATGGGTCTATTTACCTGATTTAGTTACTTGGAGCAAGGGGACATGAAACAATATGTATGCACTACTAGATGAGAAAAATTAAGCCAGCTTCTAGTACCATCAAATAGTTTTACAAGATATGTGGATCAAGTTTAAGATATAAGAATGTATGAGATATATTTAAAAAGGCAAATGTTTATAATTGCACATTTTTTTCAAAAGAAATATACATGATACTTTATGCTAGAATTCGGGCATTTAAATATTTTAGGATGTAGTTGTTGAAATGATGAAATGGCTTGGCATTTTTAATTCCACATTTTCTTTTAAACTCAATTAACAGTGACGAAACACAACACAGATACACAAGGACAATCTCCCAGTACATCTAAGACATTCACAGAAACATTCATTATTCTCTCTAGAAATATTGTCTATTTATATTGATGGTAACCCGGAAGCTATTACAGCCAAATTATTTCCAGTAAAGGTTTTTTTCATTTGTCAAGATACTTGGATGATGCAAGATTGCATCATACTTTGCATTAAGACACCAAACTTTGAGTTGTCGGAGACAAGGTTAAAGTTAGAGAAATTAATAAATAACGAATTAGAAAGCAATTATCACGCGAAGTTTAGGAGGGCTCGAAACCTTTATGGTTTATAATCCCACAAGGGAAAATTATCTTGAATTATTACATACATTTATTGTAGGAAAATCTTTTTTGTTTCAGAAAAATAAAAAAAATTTCGAGGGTTACTAAAAATGACAACATTATTTAATGCTGTAAAACTCCAGAGACAGCTCTTTTACGATAATTTTAAGTACCCTAATTCAAATATCTCATAACTGGAGTACAAAGCAACTATCAAAAGCCCACATAAGAATACCTCTTAGGACGCTTGGATGAGCGGCTTACATAAAGTACCCGTCATAGATACCCCCTATAAGGTGACCAATCGTCCTTCTTTTATAGGTTCTCTTCTTCCTCCAAAGTGTCCTCCTTTTCAATATTTTAAAACTGATCTGTTAATATTTGTATTCAGAGATGAACCAAACATGTTTCCAAAATGTCGAAGAATGGTCTGAAGCAAATATCACAGGAAATAAAAGTTTTCAATGGCATTTTTTTAAATTGAGCAGATAAAGAAAATTACGTTGAGTTTTTATCGAAAGAAATGCCTGATATTAAAATCGATGACAATTGTCTGTTTGAAGTAGAAAGAAGACTTAATATACATTTAAATTCTTATAAATTAGAACAATTAGAAAATCAACATGCTGATAAATTGGTAAAAGATGTGTGAAATTACTTAAACCATTTCAAAAATGAACACAATCCATATGAAAATGTAATTGTTCTTGTTGAATTTACGTTGTGCTGCCCTTGAACCAATGCACCAGTTGAAAAATTTTTTTCAGCTGGTAATGAATTTTGTGAAGTGCCTAGTGAGCAATCAAAATTGAATGTTAATATTTTAGCTACAGTGCTTACCGTAAAATTCAGTATGAAGGATATTTTTTCCCGAGCTTTCCGATATATTATATTAGAAAATGATATATTGACAAAAGAAAAAAAAATCATTCAATGGAAAAATACTCTTTTAAGATAATAATTAAAAAGAATGTAAGCGTAGCTAGCGTACTTTTGTTTGAATTAATAGAACATTTCATATATTTAAGTTGTAATTTTTTCTTGAATTTTACGTCCTCCTTTTCATTGTAAGAAAAATGGTCACCTTACTATAACGCAATGCCCATTCTTGGCTGAATTGGTGACTTTGAATTTGATAAGCGGAATAGCCGCAGCATGTGTTGTCTATTAAAAATTCAAACTAAAGATAATAAAATCAATCCTGTATAAATCACATACAGTAATAAGGCGATATTCAAGTTCAAAAGAATTTTACATTTCTCAAACAAAAACAAACCGGTCAACAAAAAACACTATTAATGATACGCAATACAACTATATATAGAATATAAATCAATAATCTCTAATATAATTGTAAAAATTCTTTGTTGTGTTTTACTTGATTCTTCAAATGTCTTAAGGTTCTTATGACATTCCACACGAATAGCCATTATGTATGGCGGTTGCATATAAAGCCAACGGGCAATTGAGATTTGACATACAAAGTTGATATAAAAAGTTTTTAATAACGTGTTCACATTTTTTGGTAAATAAATAAGCTTTTTTTTCTCATAAAAAGATCAGACATGAAGACATTTTGTAAGGTAGGTTACATTTGAAAAAAAAATATTCCTCTTTAAAATACTATGTGGATTAAGAGTGATGTCATTTTCGAATAATATAATAATTAAAGAAAACATAAAAGATAATATCTTAAAATTTTAAAGTAAATAATTTAAGAAGAAGAGCCTAAATTTAAATAAATGTTAGAGTTATTATGTTAACAATGCTCTTTATAATGTTTAATAATAAATCAACACGAAGTATTTAACTACCTACCGAATTTGTGTTTCTCTCAAAATAAGAATATTTCACATAAAGAAAAATGAAAACGAAACTTTAAAAACACGTTAAATCTGTCGAGAGCTGAAATGTCCTCCCGTTGGTGTGGTGTGGTAGTTAGGAGAGGGGGTGCCAGCTCAGGTGTCGTCCACGTCAGTAATTAATGTCACGTTTAATTTAATAAACACATAAAAACCCGCGTAACCCGCTTAACTGACGTGATTCTATCCCCAGTGTCATTGGTTGTTTTTTTTTACATAGGCACGCGTAAACGGTGTATTGGGGGAGGGGAAAGAAAAGGAATTAAAAAAGCAAACGCTTCGTAAACACGTTCAAAGTCATTTTGTTGCATTCCCAATCGATCGGAATAATTGTACTGATAGCAGCTCAAAGAAAAAAATTGTACATTAGAAATACATATATATGCGTCCGGGCAGCTAACGCCCAGGCTGAGTGAGACGTATATATACGTCGGTGGTATTTAAGGGGTTAACTAAATAATATTGTTTCGAAAATTTTATTCAAATGATCCTTAACTATATGAGTACTTCTGTATTTTCATCTACTTTTAAGGGTCTGCATCCTCATTCTTTAATAAATACAAGATAAAACAAGTATATGAAAAGCACAAAAATTTTATGCAGCAATGAAAGCTCGGTAGATGTGAAACTAATAATAAATAGTACTAACATTTCACTTAACAGCACACAATTTCTTTACATTTGAAACGGATCACAAGAATCAAATGCTCCGTTCAAAGTTACTAACATTTCCCTGAAAAGTGCAAGGAATATATGTTACTGTTAAAATGTGAAATCTGTTATTTTATAGAATTACTAAGTATTTCATGAAATAACTAGACAACACAGTTAAATTAAAAAAAGATTATTGAATTCTACGATTTAACCAAGTATTCTATAGAATAACGATTACGTGATCGTTAAAGTATGAAATACCGTAAAATCCGGCGTATAACGCGCACTTTTAACACAAAAAATAAGATCGAAATTCACGGGTGCGCGTTATACGCCGGGTATAAAAATGATAACTTCAAAAATGAAAAAAGATGAGCATAAAAAAAAATTAGACTTCCACATAGATCGAAAAACTGTTTAATAAAAATGACATTTCTTATGAACTTTTTTAGAGTTGTGTTTCTAGAAGTATACTATTTTTCAAAAGCTTGGGAGGATACCTCAAATAAATAACTTCTTGAGCATTGTGTATGTGTATTTCAGGTTTCTTCGTAAAAAACAGGGGTGCACGTTATACGGGGAATATATGTAAAAATTAAAAATCGCAGCTCTTAAGTATAGAAGCGCGTTATACGCCGGATTTTACCATTACATCACTCGAAAGTTCTTTGAACAGATTGTAACTGCTTTTAGTCAGTTTTGAACCATTTATGGCTGCCTTGGAATGATGTTAGTATGTATACCTTTCATTCCGTTGCTTTTAAACGTAGAATTTAGAGGCTGTGTATTTACACTAGCGTTTTACATTTTGGATCATGAACAAATATATTAGCAACCTGTTTTCAAGCAATAACATCTGTAGGAATGAGAGACTAACAAGTAAATAAGAAATATTTAATGCATGAGAGATTTGAATCTTTATTAAATAAGCGTGGAACAAAGGAAAACAGTGCTGCACTTACTCGTAGAAAATTATTAACTTTGATAGAAAGGGTAAAAGTGCTAAAAATGCACGGAAAAAGTACCACGTGACTATCGGTTACTCCAGCAATATGATATCCTTGAAGTTCAAGGATTAGAAAAGTTAATTGTATAAGTAACAGATGCAAGACATA